GTCGCGACCCCATTTGGGGTCGATCGACCATTTCACGGGGGTCGCCAAGCAAGGCTGTCCGCCATTTTTTTCCCCCTTTTCCGGCAGGTGCCTTACCTCCCTTGGGCTGGGCCAGCTGGTGGTCGGCCTGCTCCGTCTCTGCCGCTTGCCAGCTACGCCTCAACCGGCGCAGGGGGCGGAACCACGCATGCGCGGCGCTCCCGGGCAGGGAAAGTCCTCGACTTACGACCGGTTGGGTAGTCGACTTACGACCGGTTTAGTCCTCGACTTACGACCGGTTGGGGGGTCGCGGCATTAAAAAGGTTGAGAACCACTGATATAAACCCTGCCTGCTTTTGGGGGTCTATCCTGGATTCACAGGGATTCTTGGGCAATAAAAATGTTGAATAGCTCCAACTCAGGACTTGATTTAGAAATATATGCGGAAAGAAAGATAAAGAGTTGGAATCATCTTTAGAAGGTAGATGACGTAGCAGGGGTCAACCACCCCAAATCTGCCTTTCTCATCAACAAGTATTACTTATATTCTGTTGGATGGACTGAAATACATACAAACCAACTATGTTGTTTTTAAACCGAGTGACTGCTTCTGCAATTCTTCCCTCCCCAAAAAGCCAGGTAATACAAGTGTAAATACAACTTAGATACTACAGGGCAAAATATGACTTCTGTAACAGTTACTCCCTTCTGGGCTACCTATATTCTGGGCAGGGGGCTACAAACTTTTCCAAGAGCCTGTTCGTTTAAGAAATCCCAGATTGCCCTGATCAAGAAGCAAAACTAGTGATGGAAAACTACCATGTTTGAGTTAACTTTAATTTCTCGCGAAACCCCATCAATTCTTGTGAGGCTTTAGGGCTGTGTGGACCAGTTTAAAAAAACTGCTCTAGGACCTGGAACAAGAAGAGATTTTTTTTGTTTTTTGAGTGGGCGTATGTGTCAGGAAGCACCTCCTTCTGCATCTTTCAAGTAGCCTTAAACATCCTTTTGAAGCACAGAGAAATCTTGATGCATTTCCCAAGCTTTAAAAAAACACCACAATAATGATTTCTTTGCTGGTGGCGGCAGGTCTCAAGGGAGGAACAAAGAATAGAAATGAAATTGAGGTCTGCCCTGGATTTGATTATCCATCTGTCTCTTGTCCTGTCCCTCCCCGTCTTCCTGACCTACTTAACTCAATTAGGCAACACATCTGCCACTCCCACCCACCCTTCACATCCATCATTTCCAACCAAGAGATCCATTGAAAGGCTTGAGAAATCTTAGTGGGGCAGTAAGAACAATTTCTTCCTATAGCAGAAGCTGCCGCAGATGCAAATTATCGTGCGGGGACAGCACAAGGTCAGGTTTTTCATAGTTTAAAGAAGAGTATAGGTAGTTCTGGAGTTACAACCACAACTGAGCCCAAAATTTATGTTGCTAAGTGAGAAATGAATTGAGTTTTGCCCCATTTTTACGACTTTTCTTGCCACAGTTGTTTTAAGTGAATCACTGCAGTTGTTAAATTAGTAGCACGGTTAAGTGAAGTTGGCTTCCCCGTTGACTTTTGCTTGTTCAGAAGGTTGCAAAAAGGGGATCACGTGACCCTGGAACACTGCAACCGTCATAAATGTGTCAGTTGCCAAGTCGCCAAACTTTGATCACGTGACCCTGGGGAGGCTGCAATGTTCGCAGGTGTGAAAAATGTTCGTAAGTCACTTTTTTCAGTGGCGTAGTAACTTTGAACGGTCACGAAATGATCTGTTGTAAGTCAAGGATTGCCTGTAGGAGTAATTGGCACCTGAGAGGATTTCCTCCCCTCATATTGAAAGGGTACAAGTATTTCTGGACTCACAACAGTTAATTTAGCGACCGCTCAAAGTTACGACATTGAAAAAAGGGACTTGTTGAATGTTTTTCACATTTACGACCGTTGTAGCATCCCTATAGTCACGGGATCAGAATTCAGGCACTTGGCAATTGATTCACATTTACGACGGTTGTGGTGTCCCAGGGTCATGTGATCACCTTCCGACAAACAATGAAGTCAGATTTACTTAATAACCATGTTACTGACTTAACTAGTGCAGTGATTCACTTAAAAAAGTTTGTAACATGGGACAAAATTCACTTTACATCTGTCTCACTTAGCAACATAAATTTTTGGGTCAATTGTGATTGTATGTCGAGGACTACCTGTACTGGTGTCTCTGGTTATCAGTATTATTTATATTGAGGCTACAAGTCAAATGGGTATTGATTGACGCTTAGGAGAACAATTCCACGACCATACTGGTTACAAACATCGCCTCTGAGGCTGTATCAAGAAATGGAGAATTTGTAATCTTTCAGATCTTAATTTCCATCATCAAAATAATAGGGAAGGCAAACTTATGTTCAGACAAAACCAAAGGAGGTGCTATGCAATGGAGTGCCCAAACAACCAACATTTATCCAATTATTTATCCAATTTTTCTCTTGAGAACGGGCATCAGAATTTCATTTTTTTAACGTGTACCAGTGTGTTCACAGGAAAAAAGCGACAATAAGGGTAAACTTATCTTATCATGATGCTTTGCTACCTTTTATGACAATATTCTCTTGACAGCTCTTTTAATCCTGGATCTTTCTGAAGAGACATCAGCAGATTAAAGTGATATAAAGAATGAAAGATAAACTATTAATATAGGTGATCAAATTTACAGATCTACTTCACAGCAAACAATTTTGCTGACAAGGAGCTAGCACCCTGCTTCATCCCAAGATGCATGATGAAAACAAGGAGAATGTCAGTTTGATATTATAGATCAGGGGTGTCAAACTTGCCACGTCGCCTGACCTGTCGCAACCTGTTATAGATTATGTGCTGAAAGATACATTTTACAAAACAGTCATTTAATTCTCAGATTTCTCTAAGTTTGCCATTTAGAAAGCTAAATACATTCCCATATTTTAGGCTTCCTAACGTTTTGCATGAATTAGAATTTTATTTCTGCCTGCAGTGGCCATGAAGATGCTGAAAGTAATAGCTGGCCAACATCTGCTTGCTTACAAGATCCATACAGGAGAAAAACTGTTTTTTAACCTTATCGTTTGTTTCATTTCTTTTTTCTGGCACTTTTGAGCTATCTTTCTCAAATTTTCCTGCAAATATTGAGGCTACCATTCATTTCATAGTTATGGCAAGTAAACAATCTTCCAAAACTAAAAAAAAAAAATCCAATTCACAGGCTTATTGTGTCATTTTAATTCCTTTTCAATGTTATTTTGTCACAATCTACTAGCTTTTTTACCCCCACCATAAATCTTCAGGCATAGCAAAAGGCTGGAAAAAAAGAGAATTTTGAACACGAGGCTGTGAAAAGCAATTGCAATAATCAATTATTCTACGTATCGTATAAATAAGATGATTAAGCAATGGGAATTATGGCCTTGCTCTCACTTCAGGTTTTAAAAGAGGGGTGAGATGGCTACCTATTAGATTCCTACAGTGACCATGGAATGGGTTTAAATGGAATGGTCTCTTCCAACTCATAAATTCTTTCATCTGCCTGGGTAGAGCTGAAAGTCTGAAACCCCTGTTAAAACTATCTTGAGCCAACGAAACAAACATAAACACTGCCTTTTGGAGGTTAATACCTCTATACTGTAAAGAGAAGTTGGCGGGAAAGAGTGGGCCTGGAGTTATTTAATATCCGGTTTCAGAACTTGTATCATTCTTGTATATTCAGCTGCCAGATGTTTTTTTATATTCTATATTTTTTTAAAAAAACACCCACAAAATAGGCAGAGGAAGAAATGAATTCCAATTTTACCTCAGCCAAATTTAACGTACTTCTGTCCTCCCACCCCTACATTCCAGAAAGGGTAATTGAACAAACCACAGTTCCATCGAGCAAACCTTACCACAAGGGACACACAAGCATATTATTTAAAACTGTGTGCACCTACTACCGGCTCAGTGCTAAGCCTTGATTTGGATCAACTGGATCATTAGCTATGGGCAGGGGTAGGCAACCTTGGCTCTTTTATGACTCGTGGACTTCAACTCCCAGAATTCCTGAGCCAGCCATGCTGAGGGGAAAAAGAGAGGTTTTCATACTTAGCCATGCTGGCTCAGGAATTCTGGGAGTTGAAGTCCACGAGTCATAAAAGAGCCAAGGTTGCCTACCCCTGGCTATGGGGATTGAGTTGAAATCTAAACCTCCACTGCCACGAGACCCACTGACACAGCCTTTTGTCTTATTGCAAGTTTAAGAGTTTCTACAAATGCTCCAGGAGCTTCCATCCCCAATCAGCTGGCACGTAAATGGAGGAGAGGTCTTCCCGAAAGAATTGCTCCACTGAAATGGAATGAAGCTGCACAAAAGCAGCTTGCAGAAAGCAGGGGTAATTCTGCTCATTTCAATCAGCTTTTTTTCCCTTGGAGCAATTCCAAATAGGCTGTCCTTCAAAAGCAGCTCGAAACAATCCATTTCCCCCCAAAGCAGCACTCTGGAGTAAGTGGGTTGTGGGGCTGCAGCCTCAATCAAAGGTAATACTAAGGTAGGCATCTCTTAATGATTTCTGCTCTCTTGTGCTGTCTTGCAAAGTTACAATCGGCAGACTGAAAAGCTCTGCAGACGTGTGAACCATCGCTTCCCCTTTCTTCAAAAGAGCCCGGGTTGATATTCAGGAGTGCCATGGTCCATGTGTGTCTGGCAGAGAGTGGTTTTTGTCCAGGGCTCTTCCCACTACATGGTACTTCCTCTCTCTCTCTCTTTCTCTCTCTCTCTGAACAAACGGAAGTATTGTGTGTCGCCCAAAATGAGGTCCATCTCTATCTGAAAATGCCTGTTAAGGAAAAATGAACAAAGCAGAAAAAGGATCCGCTTCACCAAGCAGATGCAGAGGGTTTTGCGCCAGCGATGGGGGCACGAAGGAACGGACCCCCTCTCTTCCAAAAAAAAAAAAAAATCATACACAGCTTCATCTCCAAGAAGTGGTTTTGAGGAACGTTGGTCTTTCAGACATTACTTGCACTCGTCCCCCGCCCCACCCCCGGGCGAGGATCCCTTATTCAATAAGTTCCACGTAGTTGGCCGGAAACATCCCAAAGTGACCATTGGGCCCGTAACCTCGCCACCAGCCCTCGTCAATCATCTCAATGTTTGTGATCATGTTCTCAGGGTCGAAAGAGATCTCTGTGTCGTCAGCTAAAAAGGTGGGAAACAAAACACAATCTCAGTGTTATTATTATTTTTTTAAAGAAAGTAACAGGCCCAGTAGGGTACAAGGTTAGAATCACACTGTGCAGGCGGTCTTTGGTTTATGACCGTTTGAATGATGGAAGTTCTGGTTCCGACTGTGGTCCTAAATGGAGGACGACCTGCAAATTGTGGTTTCTCAGTCTTGGCACCTTTAAGCTGTGTGGACTTCAACTCCCACCATGCAATTCAAAGCTGCAGCGTTGACCTCACCATAAAGCTGCCAGGGTCAAGAAATCCTGCTCTAAACCGAGCATATGTTTCAATTTTATTTAAATAACAACTGTCGTAATCTGGGTTGATTTATGCCAGGAGTCTTCAAACTTGGCCCTTTTATGACTTGTGGACTTCAATTTCCAGAATTCATCAGCCAGTGTGCCTGGCTGAGGAATTCTGGGAGTTGAAGTCCACAAGTCATAAAAGGGCCAAGTTTGAAGACCCCCTGATTTATGCCAAACTCGAGCACTTAATCATTTAACCTCTTCTTTTCTAATGCTGCTTATTCTTCCACTGTGGATTATTACTCCTCCTTTCTGGAGACTCACAATATCCTGTATTATCATTTCAGCCTTTAAATCTGGGCTGTGCACTTTTTTCCCCCTGAGCTGAAGATTGCATTGGGCTTTTGAGTGGTGGGTCGGGGCTACATTCAACCAACAGAAGCAGCTTGCAGAGCCATGATAAAAAATAAAGTAGGATTAAATATGAGGGAATGAAACTATCTCTCTTGCATTTAACACATTCTTTCTGCTGGCATGTTAAAATTACATACAATGCGGCAGCAAAAACTGGCCAGGCTTTGAGAGTTGCTCTCAATGCTTGTGCCTAAAAAAACAGATTATATCCATATATTTTACATATCCGAGCAACCCAGAGCACCTTCTAACTTTGTACAGGCAGAGCTTTAAACTTTTATTGCTTCTGCTAAGGGTGGTAAGAAAATATATCTTTACTTTAGTAAGTATACTGTGTAAACTGCATTTTAAGCTCTAAAATGTGGCTGACTTCCAAATCTCTGATCTTGCTTTTTCAAACGTAAGAAAAAAAACCCCCAGCTGTTTCTAGGAAGTAAATATGAGGGACTAATGAAAGTAAAACACATCAAACATACCAGCTTGATAATCATACAGAGCACGGGCACATATTCCCTTTCCTTCCATGTTAAGGTTTTCTTGGTAGGCATCACTATAATCATAGTTTGCATCTTCAGGCTGTTCCCAAAACAAAGAAGAGTTAATGAGACAAGGAATGATATACTAAATCAGAGGCCATCAACCTTTTGACTACAATTCATTCACTAAAATGTCTTTTCCCAACCTCGGCCTGCTCCAGATGTGTGGACCTCAGCTCCCAGCATTCCCAACTAGCATAACCAAGGCTGAGAGTTCTGAGAATTGAAGGCCACACATCTGGAAGCTGACTGGAGTCAAAGAAGGTTGTACCAGCCAATCTCAATGTGCGTTCTGATGTAAGTGTACGAACCCAGTTTCTAGAAACATGGAGTAATTTACAGAAACATAATTTACAGAAGCATGGATTCTTTTCTGAAAGGAATGATGTAAAAGAAGTTTGTCATGGATTTTTGAAGTTTGCCAAGTCAGATGTCATCAGGTCACAGGAGTTGATCTGCATCTTCTTCCAGGCAAAAATCCAGGAGAGAAGTTTTGAACAGAACGTAAGGACATACGTTTTCATTACTTTCCCAATGTCATAAGGAAACAACACACGGTACAAGAAAGGTATGAATGTAAAATGGGAGCAATTATATATATATATATATATATTTTACAAAGCTTACATTGTCCTTCTTAACATAGGTTTCCCTGATTACATTTACATAAAAAAAACATGCCAGAGAAATTAGGGAAATTGCAAATAGCAAGTACTTTTTCTTACAGATATTTTGATTTTAAAAAAAAGAGAGAGCAAAGGACCTAACAATGTTATCTTGCTAATGCAGTCAAGAATAATCCGATTTGTATTGATCTGCACTTTGCCAGCAGAGACTAACCTCAGGGGGCTCATCGTAGATCACATGCTGGTTTGGGGGCTCCTCATACACCGCCTCCTGTTCTACCTCTGGTTCATGGACTGCAGCCCCTGCCTTGTGGTTCTCCTCCCTGACAGAATTACCTGAAAGAAGCATTCTCAGTTTCAATTCTCAACGTTGAGAAGGTAAGACTCATGTTCCAGGGTTTATTTCTTCCTTGAGTTAATAACTTTTTTTTCTCAGGATGCTTCTGCTCCGTAACTCTCTTGCTCTCTTTTTAGTACTGCTAACAGCTTACTTGTCTTAGCACGTCTCACTTTGATTTTTATTTCGCCTTTATTCTTTTTACAAGTCACTCAAGGAGGCCAACTTATCTAACACACCTTCCTCTTCCTATTTTCCCCACAACAACCCTGTAAGGTGAATTGGACTAAGAGAGTGACAGGCCCAAGCTTGCGTTCATGACTAGAACTCACGGTCTCCTAGTGATTGGTCCAAAGTCACCCAGCTGGCTGTCATGCCTAAGGCAGGATTAGAACTCAGTCTCCTGGTGACTGGCCCAAAGTCACCACCCTAGCCAGTTTTCATGCCTAAGGCAGGACTAGAACTCAAGTTTCCTGTTTTCTGAGACAGCATCTTAACCACTACACCAGTGGTGGCGAACCTATGGCACGGGTGCCAGAGGCGGCACTCAGAGCCCTCTCTGTGGGCACGTACGCCGTTGCCCCAGTCCTAGGCCTTCAGCTGGGTTTTATAAAACCTTTTTACTTTAGGCCTCCGCCACCGTGTGCAAAAAACAAAAAAAAGGTTCAATCAGTCAATTTCAACTAGAGTGTCCCTTTTTTTCTACTTGCAAAGTTGAAATTGATTGATTGAACTTTTTAGTCTCACCCAGTCTGCCATTACCACTGCAGCCATGCCCACTCAATGGGCCACACCCACCCAATGGGACACACCCACCCAATGGGACACACCCACCCGGCACTCGACGATGCATAAGTGGGTTTGGGGTTGCAGCTTGGGCACTCGGTCTCTAAAAGGTTCGCCATCACTGCACTACACCAACACATTAACCTTCTCACACAACATGCAAACTCACTGGCTCTCATTTGTTTTCCCTTTCCCGCAAGCTTTTCCGATGCAGCAAGAAAGATTGCACCAATGGCCACATGGAGGAAACAGGACAGACATACACACACACACACAATTACACAATATTGGGAGACACTGAACAGAGAGAGATCTTGTTGGGGCAACAACAGGCCTTTCAAACTTTTGAAGAAAAGAAAAATCAGTGAGATGGATGGATGAAGCTGCACGTCTCACATCTTCTCACTTCAACAAAATAGGAAAGCACAAACCAGGGAAGGTTTGACACAAGGGTGAAAAGAACAGCCCATGTCTGTTCCACTGTTAGCAAATCTAGCTAATGGAGAATGAGACACAGATTTGGGTAAACAAAGGCTTGGTAAAAACCTTTTGAGAGCAGGACTGGGGAGAGATTGGTTGTGGGAATGTACCCGTGGTCTGGGTGCATCCTTGCATTAAAAGAAATGCACGTACGTGTGTGCAAGAGCTATAAAGAGTACAAATGGACCCGAAGCTGTCCCAAGCAAAAAATTCTTCTTCTTCAGTAAAATAATAGTAATGAAGGTAAGCAGCTTGGGAAAAGTTGGACTGGAGCATCTTTCGTAGTCAAATTCAACTTTCTCATGTTGGGAGAAAGCTGTACTACTCTCAGAGAAAGGAAAAGATGAACAAGGTCTATATCTATGCCAGAAATAAAGTTAAGATAAAAGTCTTCTATTTTTCTATAACCTGTTTTTCTTGCAGGCTTTCGGAGGAGGGGATAAAACTTTCCGAGCATGAACCTGGTCACAAAAAGGCAAAATTTTAAACCCTCTGGGGAAATCATGGGTTAGTCAAGGATACTTTCAGGATAACGTTCTGTCCTGTCATAGCCCCTACTCTGGAAACACCTCCCCTCCCCAAGATATATCTCACAGTCTTTGACTGTGTTCAAAAGAGCTCTAAAAACATGGCTTGTTTTCCAGGCCTTGGGTTATGGTGGGTTCGCCATAACTGATGGTCTTCTAATGGCTGCTTTCTGCCTGGTATTTCAATGGGGTTGTTTCTTTGAGTTGTATGATTTTAACTGTGTTAATTGTATCGCGCCACTGGTTTTTACTCTACGCCACTCAAGAGTTCTCTGTAAAGTTGGGAGGCCTTCCATGTTTCTAAAACAAGTAAATAAATCAAATAAACTCTAGGTGTGTCTTCCCACTGGGACACAGGGAAGAAAAGTCAGAACTACCACTGGCTATTAAAAATAAAGAAAGACACCTCTTGCTGTTTAAAAAAATGTAATGTAATCAAGGAACAGAAATCACACGCTCTCATATAATGCTTTTTACCAAGTTCGGGAACAGGAAAAACTGGAGGTGTGTCGCGACCAGACGAACGAACAACAGGAGGAGGAGGAGGAGGAACATCTTGTGCAGCAGGTTGGACAGGGGAGACAGGATTCTCCACCTGACTTCTCTCCTGGAGGAAAGGGCTCCGTAACTTGCCTAGGAAAGGAGCCAAGTCAGTCCAGAACACAAGTTGGTTAGACCAGGGGTAGGCCACCTTGGCTCTTTTATGACTCGTGGACTTCAACTCCCAGAATTCTTGAGCCAGCACGGCTCAGCTTGGAAACCTCTCCCTTTCCCCTCAGCATGGCTGGCTCAGGAATTCTGGGAGTTGACGTCCACGAGTCATACAAGAGCCAAAGTTGCCTTACCCCTGGGTTAGACCCATCTCTCTTATACAACAGGGAGAACTTGGCTAAGCTGCTCAGTTGCCTGATTCTACCCATTCTCATTCAGAAATGTAGCAGTGTTTGTGACGCCAGACACAGCATTACAGGTAGTCCACAACTTACAAGCATTAGTTTACTGACCGTTTGAAGTCACAATGAAAAAAGTGACTTATGAATCTTTTTCAAACCTTATGGCCCACAGGGTCACGTGATCAAAATTCAGAGGCTTGGCAACTGGCTCATATTTAGGATGGTGGCAGTGTCTCAGGGGTCACGTGATGTAGCAGCATCCCCAGGGTCACGTGATTTCTATTCGGATGCTTGACAACCGACTCACATTTATGACGGTTGCAGTATCCCAGGATCCCCATTTTGTGACCTTCTGACAAGCAAAGTCAACAGGTTCACTTAACAACTGTGTTACTAACTTAACAGCTGCAGTGATGCAGTGGTGAGAAAGGTTGTAAAATGGGGCAAAACTCATTTAACCACTGGCTCGCTTAGCAACAGAAATTTTGGGCTCAGCTGTGGTCGAAAGTCAAGGACTGCAGTCAAATTAAACCATGCATCCAATGCATACGTGCTAACGGATAGCATTAGATCCTGTGAACCACATTCCAAGACCCAAATTATGGCACCAGGTTTCAAATTTCCACCATGTGCTTGGCGGAGAAGAAAAAAAACCTGTTCTCAGTTGCTGAGGTCTGTTACTGACATTCCTGTCTCTGGGGAAAGTAAGTGATTCCCTTGCCGTGTGCCTTCCTTAGTGCAGAAGTGTGTAGATCAGGGCTTTTCAACCTCTTCACTCATTGTACCACTTTTAGGATATGGCAACATCCGAGTACCACCAGTCGCCTAGCAAGGTGTCAAAAACTTGATGACCTTTTTTTTTTTTTTTCACTACTTCATGTCTATCAGGAACTGAATGTTGTCAAGCGAATCACTGACAAGTTTCAATGTTACCGTGACTTTTTTCACGGGGGGTTCGGTGTCGCTCGTTCTGCGGACGGATGGGCCGCCGCCAGAAGGAGGACAGACTCCAAAAGTAACAACACTCTTAAAGACAACTCCTAACCGTCACCGGATGGGGTGGGGGGTGTTTGGTCTTTATTCCTCTCGTCTGCTGGGTGGTTGCAGCAGGTTTTGGTCCCTTCACATGACCCTGGGACACTGTGACCGTCATAAATATGAATCAGTTGCCAAGCATCTGAATGTAAATCACAAGACCCTGGAGATGCTGCAACATTCCAGCTGATCGGCGCTTCTTCTGGGCTCAGCAGAAGCACCAGGATCAGCGCCGAGCTCCAGCTGGAGCCTGGCGCTGATCCTGATGCTTCCACTGAGCCCTGACAGTCCCGAAGAAGCACTGATCCTGGCACTTCCGCTGAGCCCTGACAGCCCTGCAGCTCCAGCCATCTCTCGCTCAGGCTTGTGCGGTGCTGCCACCGGTTCAGCTCATTCCCCTCCCCTGCTACTTTTCTAGGATGGTCGCGTACCACCTGCCAGGTGCCAATGTACCACAAGTGGTACCCGTACCACTGGTTGAAAAGCCCTGATGTAGAAGAATACCTGGCTGGGAGTTGATGGTGGCTGCTGCTTCTGTAGACATGGACCTCTCCTTCTGTTTGAAGATCTCACGAGGATTCACTGATCGTTGAGCTACTAGTGATGCTGCTTCCTAAAAAAACCAAAAACCAAAAAACCAAAAGGGTAACTGAATCCTGATGAAATACAAAACTCAAAAAGCATGGAAAGGAAGGCGGAACTCTAGCAACAGCAAACACCACTGCTGCCCAGCCTTAGCAGGCAAGGGGGAAAGTGCTACCTTTGGCTGCCTACATATCTTACTAAATGTAAAAAAAAACCCCAAAACACCTTACTAATAACCATCAAAATCCTTTCCTCAATCCTACACTGCCAGATGTGTTGGGCGACACAGCGGCAAATCACACAGCCTGCAGCTAGCACAGCCACAGCTGAATGAGGGTTAAGAGAGGATTTGGGATAATCAATCAATCATTCAGTAGGAAAAGCTCAGGATGAAGGCATCCATCGAAAAGGTTTTATTCATTGTAGGTATACACACCGGGGGGTGGGGTGGCACAGTGGTTAAGACTCTGGGCAGCCCAGCTTCAACACCTGAGTGCCATGCGACGGGCTGAGCTCCCGTCCTCACCCCAGCTCCTGCCAACCTAGCTGTTCAAAAGAATGTAAATGCGAGTAGATAAATAGGTTCACTTGGGTAGGAAGGTGACAGTGCTCAATGATGTCATGCTGGCAGCATCACTGCAGAAATATCTTCGTACGGTGCTGGTTCAATGGCCTTGGAATGGGAGATGAGCACCACCCCCTATAGTCAGCAACGAATCCACAGGGACTCTTTTACTTTTGTATGTATACGCACCAGTGTGCATAGTTGTTACAAGGCTAGATTAGGAATGGGGAAACCCAAACTGTAGTCCTCCGTAGATAGAGAAGCAACGGACGGACTTTAGACCAGTTTATCTCTAACTCTGTTCTAAACTGGGAAGTTGAAAAATATCTATCTACCAGCCCAAACATATTGGACTAGTTCAGGGGTAGGCAACCGTGGCTCTTTTATGACTCGTGGACTTCAACTCCCAGAATTCCTGAGCCAGCACGAGTCATAAAAGAGCCAAGGTTGCCTACCCCTGGACTAGTTTGATAGATTACAGTGCCTTTGAACTCTGGTGCTGGAGAAGACTCCTGCGAGTCCCCTGGACTGCAAGGCGATCAAACCGGTCAGTCAGAGGAGACCAACCCTGACTGCTCTTTAGAAGGCCAGATCCTGAAGTTGAAACTCAAGTACTTTGGACACCTAATGAGAAGGAAGGACTCACTGGAGAAGAGCCTGATGCTGGGAAAGATTGAGGGCAATAGAAGAAGGGGACGACAGAGAATGAGGTGGCTGGATGGAGTCACTGAAGCAGTAGGCGTGAGCTTAAAGGGATTCCAGAAGATGGTAGAGGACAGAAAGGCCTGGAGGAACATTGTCCATGGGGTCACGATGGGTCGGACATGACTTCGCAACTAACAACAACAACATTCAATGAAGAAGCTTTCAACTTCCCAGTTTAGGACAGAGATAGAGATAGATTGGTCTAAAATCCGTCAGCTGCTTCTCTACCTAAGGAGGACTACAGCTTTCATCATTGATTGGGGATAGAGGTGAAGTATTACAGAAAAGTAATAACCATCCACATTCTTTCACTAAAGTTCAAAGCCATGGTCCTGTTACTTCAAAGATAAAGCAAGCATCGCAAAGATGCTTTTTCAAGAGGCAACTGGATTTTTTTTTGTTTTTCTTTGAAGATGTTTCGCTTCCCATCCAAGAAGCTCCTTCAGTTCTGAACTGAACGTGGGACAACCTGGATGACTGAGACATCTCCAGAGAAATAAAGCAAGCACCCCCTGGTCAAGGTGAAGCTTGCACATGGATACGTACCTTTCTAGATACTGCTAAAGACATGAAGGCTTTGGGTCAAAGTGTCTCTTGCTCATTATAAAAATAAATAAATGGGATAGCAAAGCTCGCCTGAAGATACCATATGAAGTCCTTGTGTAAGATATCCTTTTGAATATGGCCTTTACTACATCTGATACAGAGTTAAAGGATGAAGGAAAGTCCCTGTGGACATCATTAATCTCCCACCATGGAAAAGATTCAGAAGGATGAAGGAATTACAAATAGCTAGTCAGAAGTAGGAAGACTCTCACAAAGCAAGAGATGCAGAATGGAGTTAGTGAGAAGGTATTCTCAAGCAGGGCAAAGTCAAGAAGAAAAGCCACCAATCTGCTCAAATGAAATCCTCCAGTCAATTGTCCAATCCATGCCCTTAAGGGAAACCCACAGTGGAACAGGAAGGAGAGTAAGAGTCAAGTTACCAAGAATCCCACATGCAACTGGACGAGTCTAAATCAGAATTCCACAAGAAAATAAAGGGAATAGCCAAGGAAGCACCACCATCAATTGGAACCAAAAAAAGATCAATGTCTAGTTTAACAAAGAGAAGGACGAGGGCGGACATGATAGCAGTGTTCCAATATCTCAGGGGCTGCCCCAAAGAAGAGGGAGTCAAGCTATTCTCCAAAGCACCTGAAGGCAGGACAAGAAGCAACGGATGGAAACTAATCAAGGAGAGAAGCAACCTAGAACTAAGGAGAAACTTCCTGACAGTTAGAACAATTAACCAGTGGAACAACCTGCCTCCAGAAGCTGCGAATGGTCCAACACTGGAAGTTTTTAAGAAGAGACTGGACAGCCATTTATCTGAAATAGTATAGGGTTTCCTGTCTCAGCAGGGGAGTTGCACTAGATGACCTCCAAGGCCCCTTCCAACTTTACTACTACTACTACTACTACTACTACTACTACTACTACTACTACTACTACTACTACTACTACTACTACTACTATTATTTTTTGACATTGTGAATAGGGTAGACAAGAATCCTTCAGGGAAATTCAGCTTGAGAGCCATATGCTAGCAGAACCTTCTTCAACTTGTCACCTGTAGACTTATTGGTTGGCTGGCAACCATGCAATTGAAATGGATTAAAAGCAGTTGAAATAAAGATACATTTCCCAGAATCCCTAGCATTTGTCACATATAACCAAGAATCCTGGTAATTACAGTCTCTCAAAATCTGGAAGGCAGCTAGTTGGCGAAGTTTTAGTAAAAATAAAAGGTGTATACATGGACTCTTCATCACCGGACCACACTAGGGATCAGAAAATTGTTAAGCAGCACAATCATTAAATGAGGCATCAAGTCTTCTGTTTTTCAGTGCAGTTGTAACTTTGAGCAGTTAAGTAAGGACTATCTGTCCAACTGTTCAATTACAAACAGTTCTGTTATGTCTAAATCAGAAATTTGTTTTTTATTATACAAACTCTTACATTTTTCTGCTAACCACATACCATACCAAAAAGGATGAAGCAATCTTACTTCCTGAATTTTTCTACAGAGATTGTAGAGGAAACGAATTTGTTCCTTTCCCAACCTGCACACGGAAACCAAAACTGCTGTCAAAGGGATCAGAAAGTCCATTTCTAGGTCATTTTTCAACAAAAAGGCAAGTAATAAAAATTAAGATGGTGGACTGCTAATTTTTGTGGGGGCTATTTACAATGGCAAGAAGTTAGAAACACAGTAATTCAGCCGCAAACATGATTTTTAGCTGCATCTTGGACACAGGAATGGAGCAAGGCTTTCGTTGTCAGAAAAACGCACAGCAAATAATTATCTTGAATTATTTTCAGAATCAGGCAAAAATGTAATGAAAGAGATGACAAGGGAACAGTATAGCCTTAGGAGACGTGGATGACCTTTTTGTGACGATGATCCAAACTATTACAACAGAACCAATGACAAGGTTCTTACGAAAAAAACCCGCAAGATTGAGCAGACAACGGAAGAAAAATGAATTATCAATCGCTATCAATATTTAGAGTTATCCTTAAAAGGGAGAGGTTTCCTTATCAACAGAAAGATCAGTCTGGTACTTTCTTAGTTACTGGAAAACTGTATAGATAAGAGATAGCCTTCAGATGTCCCAAGAACAGAGATAGCCTTCAGATGTCCCAAGAACAAAAGAGAAACAAGGATTGAAGGGTTGATGTATCTATATAGGTATTCAGCCTTCCTAAGACAGGAAGAGGTGAAGCAGATACATGAAGATCCTTCTGGGTTAAATTCTGGCTGCACTGTTCATGCCTGCCAGCTACAAGAGTGTCCGTATTAAACATGCAGTGCTCACAGTGATGCATGCAGTGCATTGCATGCACAGAAAATGCAGTGAGATTGTTGAATTGTAGTTGTTATCCAGCAAATCACCAGTTAGCCCTGCTTTGATCGAATAGGCACCAAGAGATGATATGAAGAAGATAGAAGTGATACAGATAACACCGCATGCTAAGGCACCGTGAAGAATGAGGAGAGGTTGACAAGGGATCTTCTCCCGTGTACCTGAGCTTTCTCCACAGAATCACTCCTCCGTGGGAAACCTTTCTTGCTGCGAATTTCTTCCTNCACCGTGTGCAAAAAACAAAAAAAAGGTTCAATCAGTCAATTTCAACTTCTCACAGGGAAAAAAAGATCTTGCAAAGTTGAAATTGATTGATTGAACTTTTTAGTCTCACCCAGTCTGCCATTACCACTGCAGCCATGCCCACTCAATGGGCCACACCCACCCAATGGGACACACCCACCCAATGGGACACACCCACCCAGCACTCGACGATGCATAAGTGGGTTTGGGGTTGCAGCTTGGGCACTCAGTCTCTAAAAGGTTCGCCATCACTGCACTACACCAACACATTAACCTTCTCAAACACCATGCAAACTCATTGGCTCTCATTTGTTTTCCCTTTCCCGCAAGCTTTTCCGATGCAGCAAGAAAGATTGCACCAATGGCCACATGGAGGAAACAGGACAGACATACACACACACACACAATTACACAATATTGGGAGACACTGAACAGAGAGAGATCTTGTTTGGGCAACAACAGGCCTTTCAAGCTTTTGAAGAAAAGACAAATCAGTGAGATGGATGGGTCTACACGTCTCACATCTTCTCACTTCAACAAAATAGGAAAGCACAAACCAGGGAAGGTTTGACACAAGGGTGAAAAGAACAGCCCATGTCTGTTCCAATGTTAGCAAATCTAGCTAATGGAGAATGAGACACAGATTTGGGTAAACAAAGGCTTGGTAAGGACCTTTTGAGAGCAGGACTGGGGAGAGATTGGTTGTGGGAATGTACCCGTGGCCTGGGTGCGTCCTTGCATTAAAAGAAATGCACGTACGTGTGTGCAAGAGCTATAAAGAGTACAAATGGACCCGAAGCTGTCCCAAGCAAAAAATTATTCTTCTTCAGTAAAATAATAGTAATGAAGGTAAGCAGCTTGGAAAAAGTTGGACTGGAGCATCTTTCGTAGTCAAATTCAACTTTCTCATGTTGGGAGAAAGCTGTACTACTCTCAGAGAAAGGAAAAGATGAACAAGGTCTATATCCATGCCAGAAATAAAGTTAAGATAAAAGTCTTCTATTTTCCTATAACCTGTTTTTCTTGCAGGCTTTCGGAAGAGGGGATAAAACTTTCCAAGCATAAACCTGGTCACAAAAAGGCAAAATTTTAAACCCTCTGGGGAAATCATGGGTTAGTCAAGGGTACTTTCAGGATAACGTTTTGTCCTGTCATAGCCCCTGCTCTGGAACACCTCCCCCCCCCCAAGTTATGTCTCACAGTCTTTGACTTGTGTTCAAAAGAGCTCTGAAAACATGGCTTGTTTTCCAGGCCTTGGGTTACGGTGGGTTCACCATAACTGATGGTCTTCTAATGGCTGCTTTCTGCCTGGTATTTCAATGGGGTTGTTTCTTTTGAGTTGTATGATTTTAACTGTGTTAATTGTATCGCGCCACTGGTTTTTACTCTACGCCACTCAAGAGTTCTCTGTAAAGTTGGGAGGCCTTCTATGTTTCTAAAACAAGTAAATAAATCAAATAAAATGTAGGTGTGTCTTCCAACTGGGACACAGGGAAGAAAACTCAGAACTACCACTGGCTATTAAAAAAAAAGAAAGACACCTCTTGCTGTTTAAAAAAATGTAACGTAATCAAGGAACAGAAATCACACGCTCTCATATAATGCTTTTTACCAAGTTCGGGAACAGGAAAAACTGGAGGTGTGTCGCGACCAGACGAACGAACAACAGGAGGAGGAGGAGGAGGAACATCTTGTGCAGCAGGTTGGACAGGGGAGACAGGATTCTCCACCTGACTTCTCTCCTGGAGGAAAGGGCTCCGTAACTTGCCTAGGAAAGGAGCCAAGTCAGTCCAGAACACATATTGGTTAGACCAGAGGTAGGCCACCTTGGCTCTTTTATGATTCGTGGACTTCAACTCCCAGAATTCCTGAGCTAGCACGGCTCAGCTTGTAAACTTCTCCCTTTCCCCTCAGCATGGCTGGCTCAGGAATTCTGGGAGTTGACGTCCACGAGTCATACAAGAGCCAAGGTTGCCTACCCCTGGGTTAGACCCATCTCTCTTATACAACAGGGAGACCTTGGCTAAGCTGCTCAGTTACTGCCTTGTTGCCTGATTCTTCTATCCATTCTCATTCAGAAATGTAGTAGTGTTTGTGACGCCAGCCACAGCACTATAGGTAGTCCACAACTTACAGGCATTAGTTTAGTGACTGTTTGAGGTCACAATGAAAAAAAAGTGACTTATGAACCTTTTTCAAACCTTATGGCCCACAGGGTCACGTGATCAAAATTCAGAGGCTTGGCAACTGGCTCATATTTAGGATGGTGGCAGTGTCTCAGGGGTCACGTGATGTAGCAGCATCCCCAGGGTCACGTGATTTCTATTCAGATGCTTGACAACCGACTCACATTTATGACGGTTGCAGTATCCCAGGATCCCCATTTTGTGACCTTCTGACAAGCAAAGTCAACAGGTTCACTTAACAACCGTGTTACTAACTTAACAGCTGCAGTGATGCAGTGGTGAGAAAGGTTGTAAAATGGGGCAAAACTCATTTAACCACTGGCTCGCTTAGCAACAGAAATTTTGGGCTCAGCTGTGGTCGAAAGTCAAGGACTGCAGTCAAATTAAACCATGCATCCAATGCATACGTGCTAACGGATAGCATTAGATCCTGTGAACCACATTCCAAGACCCAAATTATGGCACCAGGTTTCAAATTTCCACCATGCGCTTGGCGGAGAAGAAAAAAAACCTGTTCTCAGTTGCTGAGGTCTGTTACTGACATTCCTGTCTCTGGGGAAAGTAAGTGATTCCCTTGCCGTGTGCCTTCCTTAGTGCAGAAGTGTGTAGATCAGGGCTTTTCAACCTCTTCACTCATTGTACCACTTTTAGGATATGGCAATATTCCGAGTACCACCAGTCGCCTAGCAAGGTGTCAAAAACTTGATGACCAAAAAAAAAAAAAAAAGTGATGAAGTACAGATAGTCCTTGACTTACAACAGTTCGCTTAGTGACTGTTCAAAGTTACAATGGCACTGAAAAAAGTGCCCCCCAAGCCACAGCGAGCAAGACGCCTGCCTACCCGGCGGCGNATATGGCAATATTCCGAGTACCACCAGTCGCCTAGCAAGGTGTCAAAAACTTGATGACCAAAAAAAAAAAAAAAAGTGATGAAGTACAGATAGTCCTTGACTTACAACAGTTCGCTTAGTGACTGTTCAAAGTTACAATGGCACTGAAAAAAGTGCCCCCCAAGCCACAGCGAGCAAGACGCCTGCCTACCCGGCGGCGCTCTTCCTCCTGTCTGAGGTTTTCATTGTTGTGAGAATTTCTGTTGAGGATTGGCAGTGGGGATGGGGTGGGGGGTGTTTGGTCTTTATTCCTCTCGTCTGCTGGGTGGTTGCAGCAGGTTTTGGTCCCTTCACATGACCCTGGGACACTGTGACCGTCATAAATATGAATCAGTTGCCAAGCATCTGAATGTAAATCACAAGACCCTGGAGATGCTGCAACATTCCAGCTGATTGGCGCTTCTTCTGGGCCCAGCTGGAGCCTGGCGCTGATCCTGATGCTTCCACTGAGCCCTGACAGTCCTGAAGAAGCACTGATCCTGGCGCTTCCGCTGAGCCCTGACAGCCCTGCAGCTCCAGCCGTCTCTCGCTCAGGCTTGTGCGGTGCTGCCATCAGTTCAGCTCATTCCCCTCCCCCACTACCACTTTTCTAGGATGGTCGCGTACCACCTGCCAGGTGCCAATGTACCACAAGTGGTACCCGTACCACTGGTTGAAAAGCCCTGATGTAGAAGAATACCTGGCTGGGAGTTGATGGTGGCTGCTGCTTCTGTAGACATGGACCTCTCCTTCTGTTTGAAGATCTCACGAGGATTCACTGATCGCTGAGCTACTAGTGATGCTGCTTCCTAAAAAAACCAAAAACCAAAAAACCAAAAGGGTAACTGAATCCTGATGAAATACAAAACTCAAAAAGCATGGAAAGGAAGGCGGAACTCTAGCAACAGCAAACACCACTGCTGCCCAGCCTTAGCCGGCAAGGGGGAAAGTGCTACCTTTGGCTCCCTACATATCTTACTAAATGTAAAAAAAACAAACCAAAAAAACACCTTACTAATAACCATCAAAATCCTTTCCTCAATCCCACACTGCCAGATGTGTTGGGCGACAGAGCGGCAAATCACACAGCCTGCAGCTAGCACAGCTACAACTGAATGAGGGTTAAGAGAGGATTTGGGATAATCAATCAATCATTCAGCAGGAAAAGCCCAGGATGAAGACATCCATCGAAAAGGTTTTATTCATTGTAGCTATACACACCGGGGGTGGCACAGTGGTTAAGATGCTGGGCAGCCCAGCTTCAACACCTGAGCGCCATGCAATGGGCTGAGCTCCTGTCCTCACCCCAGCTCCTGCCAACCTAGCTGTTCAAAAGAATGTAAATGCGAGTAGATAAATAGGTTCACTTGGGTAGGAAGGTGACAGTGCTCAATGATGTCATGCTGGCAGCATGACCGCGGAAATATCTTCGTACGGTGCTGGTTCAATGGCCTTGGAATGGGAGATGAGCACCACCCCCTATAGTCAGCAACGAATCCACAGGGACTCTTTTACTTTTGTATGTATACACACCAGTGTGCACTAGATTAGGAATGGGGAAACCCAAACTGTAGTCCTCTGTAGATAGAGAAGCAACGGACGGACTTTAGACCAGTTATCTCTATCTCTGTTCTAAACTGGGAAGTTGAAAAATATCTATCTACCAGCCCATATCGGACTAGTCCAGGGGTAGGCAACCTTGGCGCTTTTATGACTCGTGGACTTCAACTCCCAGAATTCCTGAGCCAGTACGAGTCATAAAAGAGCCAAGGTTGCCTACCCCTGGACTAGTTTGATAGATTACAGTGCCTTTGAACTATGGTGCTAGAGAAAACTCCTGTGAGTCCCCTGGACTGCAAGGCAATCAAACTGGTCAGTCCTAGAGGAGATCAACCCTGACTGCTCTCTAGAAGGCCAGATCCTGAAGTGGAAACTCAAGTACTTTGGACACCTAATGAGAAGGAAGGACTAACTGGAGAAGGGCCTAATGCTGGGAAAGATGGAGGGCAATAGAAGAAGGGGACGACAGAGAATGAGGTGGCTGGATGGAGTCACTGAAGCAGTAGGCATGAGCTTAAATGGTAGAGGACAAGAAGGCTTGGAGGAACGTTGTCCATGGGGTCGCGATGGGTTGGACACAACTTCGCAACTAACAACAACAACAACATTCAACGAAGAAGCTTTCAACTTCCCAGTTCAGGACAGAGATAGAGATAGATTGGTCTAAAATCTGTCAGCTGCTTCTCTACCTAAGGAGGACTACAGCTTTCATCATTGATTGGGGATAGAGGTGAAGTATTACAGAAAAGTAATAACCATCCACATTCTTTCACTAAAGTTCAAAGCCATGGTCCTGTTACTCCAAAGATAAAGCAAGCATCCCAAAGGTGCTTTTTCAAGAGGCAACTGGATTTTTTTTGTTTTTCTTTGAAGATGTTTCGCTTCCCATCCAAGAAGCTCCTTCAGTTCTGAACTGAACGTGGGACAACCTGGATGACTGAGACATCTCCAGAGAGATAAAGCAAGCACCCCCTGGTCAAGGTGAAGCTTGCACATGGATACGTACCTTTCTAGATACTGCTAAAGACATGAAGGCTTTGGGTCAAAGTGTCTCTTGCTCATTATAAAAATAAATAAATGGGATAGCAAAGCTCGCCTGAAGATACCATATGAAGTCCTTGTGTAAGATATCCTTTGAATATGGCCTTTACTACATCTGATACAGAGTTAAAGGATGAAGGAAAGTCCCTGTGGACATCATTAATCTCCCACCATGGAAAAGATTCAGAAGGATCAAGGAATTACAAATAGCTAGTCAGAAGGAGGAAGACCCTCACAAACCAAGAGATGCAGAATGGAGTTAGTGAGAAGGTATTCTCGAGCAGGGCAAAGTCAAGAAGAAAAGCCACCAATCTGCTCAAATGAAATCCTCCAGTCAATTGTCCAATCCACGCCCTTAAGGGAAACCCACAGTAGAACAGGAAGGAGAGTAAGAGTCAAGTTACCAAGAATCCCACATGCAACTGGACGAGTCTAAATCAGAATTCCACAAGAAAATAAAGGGAATAGCCAAGGAAGCACCACCATCAATTGGAACCAAAAAAAGATCAATGTCTAGTTTAACAAAGAGAAGGACGAGGGCGGACATGATAGCAGTGTTCCAATATCTCAGGGGCTGCCCCAAAGAAGAGGGAGTCAAGCTATTTTCCAAAGCACCTGAAGGCAGGACAAGAAACAACGGATGGAAACTAATCAAGGAGAGAAGCAACCTAGAACTAAGGAGAAACTTCCTGACAGTTAGAACAATTAACCAGTGGAACAACCTGCCTCCAGAAGTGGTGAATGCTCCAACACTGGAAGTTTTTAAGAAGAGACTGGACAATCATTTATCTGAAATAGTATAGGGTTTCCTGTCTCAGCAGGGGAGTTGCACTAGATGACCTCCAAGGCCCCTTCCAACTTTACTACTACTACTACTACTACTACTACTACTACTACTACTACTACTACTACTACTACTACTACTATTATTTTTTGACATTGTGAATAGGGTAGACAAGAATCCTTCAGGGAAATTCAGCTTGAGAGCCATATGCTAGCAGAACCTTCTTCAACTTGTCACCTGTAGACTTATTGGTTGGCTGGCAACCATGCAATTGAAATGGATTAAAAGCAGTTGAAATAAAGATACATTTCCCAGAATCCCTAGCATTTGTCACATATAACCAAGAATCCTGGTAATTACAGTCTCTCAAAATCTGGAAGGCAGCTAGTTGGCGAAGTTTTAGTAAAAATAAAAGGTGTATACATGGACTCTTCATCACCGGACCACACTAGGGATCAGAAAATTGTTAAGTAGCACAATCATTAAATGAGGCATCAAGTCTTGTTTTTCAGTGCAGTTGTAACTTTGAGCAGTTAAGTAAGGACTATCTGTCCAACTGTTCAATTACAAACAGTTCTGTTATGTCTAAATCAGAAATTTGTTTTTTATTATACAAACTCTTACATTTTTCTGCTAACCACATACCATACCAAAAAGGATGAAGCAATCTTACTTCCTGAATTTTTCTACAGAGATTGTAGAGGAAACGAATTTGTTCCTTTCCCAACCTGCACACAGAAACCAAAACTGCTGTCAAAGGGATCAGAAAGTCCATTTCTAGGTCATTTTTCAACAAAAAGCAAATAGTAAAAATTAAGATGGTGGACTGCTAATTTTTGTGGGGGCTATTTACAATGGCAAGAAGTTAGAAACACAGTAATTCAGCCGCAAACATGATTTTTAGTCGCATCTTGGGACACAGGAATGGAGCAAGGCTTTCGTTGTCAGAAAAACGCACGGCAAATAATTATCTTGAATTATTTTCAGAATCAGGCAAAAACGTAATGAAAGAGACGACAAGGGAAGGGTATACCCTTAGGAGACGTGGACGAACTTTTTGTGACCATGATCCAAACAATTACAACAGAACCAATGACAAGGTTCTTACAAAAAAAAAAATGCAAGATTGAGCAGACAACGGAAGAAAAATGAATTATCAATCGCTATCAATATTTAGAGTTATCCTTAAAAGGGAAAGGTTTCCTTATCAACAGAAAGATCAGTCTGGTACTTTCTTAGTTACTGGAAAACTGTATAGATAAGAGATAGCCTTCAGATGTCCCAAGAACAGAGATAGCCTTCAGATGTCCCAAGAACAAAAGAGAAACAAGGATTGAAGGGTTGATGTATCTATATAGGTATTCAGCCTTCCTAAGACAGGAAGAGGTGAAGCAGATACATGAAGATCCTTCTGGGTTAAATTCTGGCTGCACTGTTCATGCCTGCCAGCTACAAGAGTGTCCGTATTAAGCATGCAGTGCTCACAGTGATGCATGCAGTGCATTGCATGCACAGAAAATGCAGTGAGATTGTTGAATTGTAGTTGTTATCCAGCAGATCACCAGTTAGCCCTGCTTTGATCGAATAGGCACCAAGAGATGATATGAAGAAGATAGAAGTGATACAGATAACACCGCATGCTAAGGCACCGTGAAGAATGAGGAGAGGTTGACAAGGGATCTTCTCCCGTGTACCTGAGCTTTCTCCACAGAATCACTCCTCCGTGGGAAACCTTTCTTGCTGCGAATTTCTTCCTGCTCCTTCTGTAACAAAAGATGACCCCTTAGACTTATGGCGAGGTCAACCAGAGATGATGGCACCAAGGTGAGGGAAATAAGACGCTTGGCTTGCACTGATGATGTTACCTAGTTTGGTAATGAAATGTCTGCAAGCTCAAAGAGCGCCAAGGACTCCATAGTTCAATTCTCAGCTACAAATATTCTCGTCTATTTTAAATCTTGGCTTTGTCAAAGAATGTTAAGGAACAGCTGCTTCCTATGGACCAGACTCACGTCACTCCACCGATCAAGAAAAATAAGCAAAGGATGGCCAGAATTCCACTTCTACCTACCACATTTTAAATTTGGTGCAAATTTAATCAGCAGAAACAGCATTCATGTCTTTATGACGGCACTAAAAGATCTCAGGACTTGCCTAGGAATTCTTTGCTATCTTTTATCATCTTCCTAAGCAAGAAAGATAGATGTCTATCTTCAGACATCTCTTTTTAAAAACAGAGGAAAAAATGTGATCATTTCCAACCTCACCCATTGTTGTTTTTCTTGTTCTTTTGAGTTGGCTTCCTGTTGTTGCTGGAATTTCCTGCAGATTTAAAAAAAAAAAAAAATCAAGAGCTGTGGTTAAGAAAAATTATGCCATTCAGATCTTAAATTTCTAAACTTAGCTGTGTCCTTCAACGTAATTCTAATTTAATCTGGTGCTCTATTCACAACAAAAAAAATACATGCAAGTTTGTACCCATCCCCATTACCAAAAAGAAAGGAACAGAACTAAATCTGTGATATCAGAACTTTAATACCGCAAGAACTTCGCTGGAAGCAAACAGTTTTTTTTCTATTTTTCTATTTCTGTTTATAGAATTCTACTCCAAGAGATGTAGCCTCCAGAAGTGCAGAGGCCTCAAGGACAATTTTGGCTGATTTACTGTAAAATATGCTGCAACTCTACAGTTTCATTTTCATCATAAACGCTCACATTTCAAAATGTTCTTCTTCTCATTCAGAAAACACAGGCAAGTCCTCAACTTACTACAGTTCGTTTAGTGACCGTTCAAAGGTACAACGGCGCTGAAAAAAACTGACCTAAGGCCATTTTTCACCCTTGCAACCATCGTGGCATCCCCGTGGTCATGTGACCGAAATTCAGATGCCTGGCATCTGGCTCATACGTATGACCGGCACTGCTGTGTCCTGGGGTCACGTGATCCCCTTTTCCAACAAGTCAAGTCAATGGGCAAATCAGGTACACTTAACAACTGTGCTACTAATGTAACAGCTGCAGGGATTCACATAACAACTGTGTCAAGAAAGGTCATAAAATGGGGCAAAACTCAATTAACGAATGTGTCACTTAACCACAGAAATTTTGTGCTCAATTGTGGTTGTAAGTCGGGGACTACCTGTATATCTCTTCTAAAGAAAGGGAAGACTTGAAGCTTAACACCTCAAAAACCAAGATCACGGTTGTCAGCAAACAACCCGTTAATTGACCACCAATAAATTCAGAAGGAATACCACTAGAAAAAGTGGAAAGGATCACGCACCTCGGTTCTAATTTACATGAAAGCTGGGACATGACCATTGAAGTAAAGACAAGGATAGAAAAAGCCCGAACAGCATTCTTCAAAATGAAAAAGGTCTTTTGCAGTCACGACATAAGCCTAAGACTGAAAATCAGGCTTGTCAGATGCTATATTTTTTCTATCCTGCTCTATGGAGTAGAGAGTTGGTCTCTGACAGAAGGCCACCTGAAGAGACTAGAAGCATTTGAAATGTGGATTTACAGGCGGCTGTTACGTAGAATCTGGGTTGACAAGATCAGAAATGAGGTGATAAGCCACCTGGGAAAGCCAAAGGAAATCATCAAAACAATTAAAAAATGAAAGTTAGAATATTTCGGACATGTGATGCGACACCCAGAAAAATACGGCATACTCCATTTAACCCTCCAGGGAAAGATTGAAGGCAAACGAGGTCCAGGCAGAAGAAGAACATCGTGGCTTCAAAATCTAAGGGACTGGTTTGGACAAAACTCAGCAGCACTTTTTCGTGCTGTTGATAAAAACATGATCGCCAACGTCCGATAAAAGAAGAAGAAGGCTTCAAGTTTTTGATTTCTGGCAAAACTGTCTGGAGAAGACATGCAGTTTTCTTGGTAAGGTTTCTCAGAACTGGCTTGCCACTGCCCGCTTCCCAGGGCTGAGAGAGAGCGACTGGCCCAAGGTCACTCAGATGGCTTTGTGCTGAAGGCAGACTAGGGTTTGTGGTCTGTTGGTTTCTAGCCCGATGCCTTAACCACTACACCAAAGTGGCTCTCTTTATCTGTAATATAGCATCCTAGAATTTATAAATATAGCCCAATATACAATAAACTGTCAAAATCTTCCTTTTTTTAAAAAAAAAATAGTAAGTTAACTCTAAAAAGAAGAGTTAACATCACTCAACGGTACTATCTTGTTTTATTCTCAAGTGTCTTCAACTAAGCAAAAGTCTGAGTTTAACTAAAGTGAACAAATTCCACACTCAGCTGGATTTAATTTAACAACCGCACAATTCAATGACTGACAATCAATGGCCACAACTAGGCCCCAGACACAAGACTGGAATTCATTCTATTGTTTCATAATGTTGTCTAAATCAACCTTAAAAAAAAAAAATTAAACTGCCTGGATTATGTGATTGCTATTTGCAGACCAAGACACACATGCACTGCAATTAAGAGACATAGAAAGTGCAAGCAGACATGTGAAAAGAGGGCTGATGGTTTTCGTCACAAGTGATCCTCCCCAACAATTCAGCCTTGTTGCACAGGTTGTCTTCGGCTTACGACCACAATTGAGCCAAAAATTTCTATTGCCAAGCGAGAGAGTTGCTAAGTGAATGATGCCTTGTTTTTCTTGCTGAATCTGGTTCCCCGTTGACTTTGCTTGTCACGAGGTTGCAAAAGGTGATCCTATGGCCCCAGGATACTGCAAGTGTCATGCCAAATATATAAATTTTGATCATGTGGGTGCTGCAACAGTGATGTGAAAAGCACTTGTAAATTCCTTTTTTCAGTGCCACTGTTAACTTCAAACGGTCAATAAATGAACTGTTGTAATTTGAGGACTACCTGTAATTTAACTATTGAATAGTACCATTATCTAAACCAGAGGTCCCCAACCTTTTGGGCACCAGGGACCGGTTCCGTGGGGAGAGGTTTTTCCACGGACCGGAGGGAGCATGGTATTGTGTGCTGCCTGCATCCCACGAATGGGGCTTTGCTTGTTTGTTTGTTTGTTGTTAAAACTGAAGACTGTCCTACTTGCCTCTGAGCATCAATCTCCTGGGATCGCTCCTTGTACCTTCGCTCCCGTAAAGTTGCTTCCTTCAGTTCCCGATCCCGACTCTCCTTTTCCAAACGCTGACGCTCTTCCTCCACTCTCCTCTTTTCTTCCAGCCGGCGATTTTCCTCGTCTTTCTGAAAGAACAAACCATACTTCAAAGCGGGAACTTATGGAGAACTAGTGGGGAAGAAATGGAGGTAGTGACAGATTTTATCTTCCTGGACTCCAAGATGACCGCAGATGGGGACTGCAGCCACGAAATTAAAAGATGCTTGGCTCCTGGGGAGGAAAGCTTTGGCAAATCTAGACAGCATACTAAAAAGCAGAGACATCATCCTGCCAGCAAAAGTGTGTATAGTCAAGGCCATGGTTTTCCCAGTTGCAATGTATGACTGTGAAAGTTGGACCATAAGAAAGGTTGAGCGCCAAAGAATCGAGGCCTTTGAACTATGGTGCTGGAGAAGACTCCTGCGAGTCCCCTGGACTGCAAGGCGATCAAACCGGTCAGTCCTAGAGGAGATCAACCCTGACTGCTCTTTAGAAGGCCAGATCCTGAAGTTGAAACTCAAATACTTTGGCCACCTAATGAGAAGGAAGGACTCACTGGAGAAGAGCCTAATGCTGGGAAAGATGGAGGGCAAGAGAAGAAGGGGACGACAGAGAATAAGGTGGCTGGATGGAGTCACTGAAGCAGTAGGCGTGAGCTTAAATGGACTCTAGAAGATGATAGAGGACAGGAAGGCCTGGAGGAACGTTGTCCGTGGGGTCGCAATGGGTTGGACACGACTTCGTAACTAACAACAACAATGGAGAACTAGACATAGGGAGACCTATAAATGACCCCACAAAAAAGTGCCAAGGGTTTTTGCGCAGCACTGAAAAAATGAGATAGCATCACTGGATGAAGTGATAATTAAGAAAATACTGGACTGTGCAGAAATGGACAGACTCACACTGAGAATCAAAGAAAAAGAAGACACAGAATACTTCCAAACATGGAACTTATTTTACCGATGGCTGGAAAAACGAGATAGAGAGTAAGAACTTAACTTTTACGACTAAGCAAAAAATTAACCAGACAACATGTTGTTCATTAAGCACTAATGAATTGTAATGATACAAAATAAAATACTTAAAAAAAAGCTGTCAGGGTTTGAACTACCATGCCAGCAGTGGACAGCCCTGAATAGGATTCACACCTCACACAGCGCGACTCTCTGTATAAATGGGGCATAGCATCCTCCCCTCAGTGACTGCAGGGTCCCACGTGAACTGTAGATCACATCGTGATATAAACGATGCTGTGCCTAGACATAGATCTTTTGAACACTTATATTTAATTGTGCTTTATTAATATAGGTGAAGTGTTAATATATATAGCTAGCCCATGTATATGACACAATAAATAAACAAATGGAGAACTCTATACATATTTAAATTGGATAACTTCTGCTTACAAGATTGGAAGACGGTGTTATCATAATCCTTCCTATTAAAAAGGACGTTTCAAACAGCTGATGCTAAGATGTTTCTGCTCAAGACCAGCATTCTGGGACCTGAAGTCCATAGATTGTAAAGTTGCCCATAGTTGCCCATCCCTGCTATAATGTGTGCACAATGCCACTTCCAGCCGCTTAATCCACCTTTTAAAAATCCTGGCTTAATACAATGTGAAAATCTACTAATTGTTTTCAATGACCTAAAACATAGCCCTATAAAACTAAGGAGGCTGTAAATAAGCCACCAGCTAACTCAAATCCTCAACTGATATTTCAGCAGCAACATGAAATGGGTTGAGTGAAATACATACCTCTGCTTTGGCCCAAAAGTTATCTTTGCCGACCCTTTTAATCTCAGACATAGCATTTGTTTTCTGGTAAACGGAGCCCTATTGCAGAAAAAAACCACAAAAATTCCTGGGCTTAACTGCAACTTAGTTATTCATAATTTATTTCTTAAAAACATTTAAGGAAATAAAATACGAAGCTCCATAAAGGAAAACAAGACCAAAAGAAGCACGGGATCTACAGATTAAAATAATCAATATATTTAGTTAATACAAAACTTATAATTAATTACGTCATTAATTAAATGTACAGAAACTAAATTCATTCATGTCCTAACTGTGCTTAATTATTAATCAAGGTGCCAGCAAGCTGCTTTAATAGACTTCACTTTCTGGAACCCTCAGACAATGAATTAGGTAAATGTTAACAAGATATTTCTTCTTCTCACCCCATTAAAGGCATGGAGAGCATTAAGCCATTTCAAAAAACTTACTTCCACAATCTTACTTCCCCTTGTGGACTAAGAACCTGAATTGCAATTTCAATGGGAGTTTGGCAAGCCTATTATTTTTACTACCTATGATGCAGTGGCAGGAACCTCTGGGGTTGATAAGTTCAACCTGAGTGTGTGCACTTGGAAAACGACTGCCACCGGAGGCTGGGTTGGTGATTATTCCCAAAATGTCTACCATGTCAGGCATGGCAATTTTTAAAGTATCTTTTTACCAGGAAACAATGTAATCAAACCTACAATCTTCCTCTTTTTCCCCATAATTTTAATTTTCCCAGAATGCCAACGGGGACTTTGAGCAACTCAGGAGAACCCTGAAAGAAAGATAATGTTAGAGGCTGGTGCAGTTCAGCTTTTCAGAGTCCCATTTATTTGTTAAAATAATCTAAAAGCACAGCTCCAACCAGTGGTTTGGGACCAATTGTATCCACAAAATTACTTTTAGATGGTCCCTAATGCAGGCATCCAGAGAAAACAAGGCATATTTTTTGAATAACCAGAACCTCGAAACTGCAAGATCAAGTCTGTTCCAGCTCAAAATCTTGCAAGGTTCGGTGTCATTTCCCCAAATCTACTAAGATTTCAGACTGGGTAAATCTCTTAAGAGCTCAACCAGGTTACAACATTAAAGTTGCTATGGTATTTAATCTTTGTTATGGTATGTGATCATCTGGGTCACATGTGCCATGGAGTCAGGAGACTCTGCAGTGCTATTCTCCCATTTATGAGGTGGCCCACAAAAGCTTTGGATGACCTCTCAAGACCATGCTATACAGCGCTAATCTACGAAAACCGAAGTCGGATGGGGAAGAAGTCTAATGAATTCCAGAGAAGGCCACAACTGGTATAATCTTGGGCAGCTCAAGCTTAGAAGATCTTACCACAGGAGCTTGTGGTCCTGCATCCTGGAACTTGCTCCCTTCTTTATGGAAGTTATAGTTTGCCCCTGAAGCTTTGGCCACCTTCTCCATAATGGTCTCTGGTTCCACATCTTCATCAGCCCGAGCATTTATTGTCACATGAGCGCCCTGAAAGAAAGGAAGTGCATGATTTCCTGCTTGGGATTGGCTGATAATCGCCGGGTACACCAGGCTAGGCCAGACCCCTTTTTCTTCATTAAGCAACAGGCAAACAAACCATGTCTTGATGTGATGCACCAACCCATTAGCAGGTACAGGCAGTCCTGACTTATGACTACAACGGGAGTCCAAAAAAATCCATCACTAAGCAGTGTGGTCACGAATTGAGGCATCATAGGACTGTACCTGATTTTGCAACCTCACTGCAACCGTTGTAAATAAGTGACAGGTACCAAACACCTGAATCATGATCACCTGACCTCAGGGATGTTGAGACAGTTATCAAGGCAAAAATCAGTCCTAAGCCACTTTTTTCAGTGCTATTGCAACTTCACACAGTCGCTAAATGAATACTTGCAAGTTGAGAACTATCTGTTTAGCTTCATGGAGAACTAACCAACATCCATCTATATATCTGTGGAAACAGATTTGCCACCTGGAATCTGTCTAGAGCAGGGACAGGCAACCTTGGCTCTTTTATGACTCGTGGACTTCAACTCCCAGAATTCCTGAGCCAGCATAGCTCAGCTTGGAAACCTCTCCCTTTTCCCTCAGTGTGGCTGGCTCAGGAATTCTGGGAGTTGAAGTCCGCAAGTCATGAAGGGGCCATAATTCCCCCATGCTGGCTCAGGAATTCTGGGAGTTGAAGTCCACGAGTCATAAAAGAGCCAAGGTTGCCTACCCCTGGTCTAGAGGCAGAAATCCTATTTTGCAGAAACGTTGAGGAATTGCTGAGAAATGCAAGAGAGGCATGCTGGACAGATATAAAGGTAGTCCTCAAGTTATGACCACAATTGAGCCCAAAATTAGTATGTTGCTAAGTGAGAAATTTGTTTGGCCCCATTTTACGACTTCTCTCGCCGCATTTGTTAAATGAATCACTGCAGTTGTTAAATTAGAAACATGGCTGTTAAGTGAATCTGGCTTCCCTCAATGACTTTGCTTGTCAAGTCACAAAAGGGGATCCCCTCACCCCCGGGACACTGCGACCGTCGTAAATGTGAGTCAATATTGTCAAGCATCCGAATATAAATCACGTGACCATGAGGATGCTGCTACGGTCTTAATTGTGAAAAATGGTCATAAGTCATTTTTTTTCAGTGCTGAACAGTCACTAAATGAACTGTTGTAAGTTGAGGACTACCTGTGGTTTCAAGAATAAGTAACATTTGGTAGATGAATCTTTTCTCCCAAGGATCCTGTTCTAAACAAAAAGTAACACAGAATCAGGAGTCTACAATGGTACAACTTTCCATCCTCCATTCCAGGATATCCAGAAAGCAAAATTTTAACTAGTTGCCTTAAAACAAGGGTCTTCAAACTTGGCCCTTTTAGGACTTGTGGACTTCAACTCCCAGAATTCCTCAGCCAGGCACGCGTCCACAAGTCCTAAAAGGGCCAAGTTTGAAGACCCCTGGCTTAAAACTTCCTATCTCTCAGGGTAATATTATTACAGGTGTGTGTGTGTGTGTTTCTGTGTGCTTTCGAAACCCCCCCTGTAGAACTGTGTATGTGGGAAGGGACTCAACTGCAAAAGGATGAGAGAGAATAAAACTCAGATAAATAATACCTTCAAAAAGTTTACCACTGAAGTGACGTGGTTGGCACAGGCTCCTTTTCTTACGTCATTAACGCCTTCCCCAAACTGCCAAAAGAAAAACACAGAATTTAAACTGGGGGACTCATATCATCCTTCATACAAGTGGTGACAGGGAAGGAAATGCCGTACTGGAATGCCATTCCTGAACGTACGCAAGTCTCGGAGTAAGACAAGCACTTGTAAGAAAAAGCCAAGTTCTGGTTTCCAAATTTAGGTTAGGAAAAATGGGAGGAAAAGAGTATTCCAGATTCTATAAAAAGACCGCCGTTTTTAAAAACAGAACATGAAAGATGATCTCAAAAAATGACACTCCCGTGAACAAAATACTCCTTTTTCCCTCTCTCCCAGAACACCCCATTTTTTATGCAGACTCTGTGCTTGTGTGTACTGTTTGAAACAGAGGATGGCGTGTGATATTCCAAATATGCCGTAGCCCTGAAAGAAAGTAGTCCTTGTTCCATATTGCGCACGTTGTGAAATGTACAAATCACCCCTGGAACACTTTAACTCACGTGTTTCTCAACTGTGGCAACTTGAAGATTTGGGGGGGGGGGACTTCAACTCCCAGAATTCCCCAGTCAGCACGACCGGCGGTAGAATTCTGGGAACTGAAGTCCCCACATCTTCAAATTGCCAAGATTGAGAAACACAACTTTCATTAATCCATTCCCATGAGCTGTGGTGGCGCAGTTAGAATGCAGTATTGCAGGCTAATTTTGCCGACTGCCAGCCGCCAGCAGTTCGAGTCTCACTGGCTCCAGGTTGACTCAGCCTTCCATCCTTCTGAGGTCAGTAAAAGGATGACCCAGATTGTTGGGGACAATGTGTGGACTCTGTAAACTGCTTAGAGAGGGCTGTAAAGCACTGTGAAGCGGCATATAAGTCTACGTCAGCGGTTCTCAACCTATGGGTCGTGACCCCATTTGGGGTCGATCAACCATTTCACGGGGGTCGCCAAGCAAGGCTGTCCGCCATTTTTTCCCCCCTTTTCCGGCGGGTGGGCCAGCTGGTGGTCGGCCTGCTCCGTCTTTGCCGCTTACCAGCTGCGCCTCGGCCAGCGCAGGGGGCGGAACCACGCATGCGCGGCGCTCCCAGGCAGGGAAAGTGCTCGACTTACGACCGGTTGAGTAGTCCTCGACTTACGACCGGTTTAGTGCTCGACTTATGACCGGTTGGGGTCGCGGCATTAAAAAGGTTGAGAACCACTGGTCTACGTGCTATTGCTGTTTCAGGAGAAAACTAAGATGCCTTGGAGTTGGACATACTGGCTAATGACTGCAATAAAGGCGGGTTTGATCTGATTCAACTCATATTGCTGAAGTCTTTCCCAACTTTTTGGTTTACAACTCCCCAAATTTTCAGGCACCACACAGCTAATGGTTAGGAAGGAGGGCAGTTGTCATTCAACACAACTAAAGTCTACTCAATAGATTGAGAAGCCTGTTCCAAAAGAGGCCTATTCATTTCGGCCTACAACTAAACGACGATGTTTCCTTAACTTCGTTTCGCTTTATGTACCGAATCTCTCGCTGCAAAACCTAATCAACGCTTCTGCAATATTGGGAGAGATCAACCCATTTATTATGACTTTCGCTTTCACGGGTCCCGCTTCCCTTTGCACACTTGATGAACTACGCGGTGATATGTGAAATCTTGTGTGACAATCTATTAATGATTAACATGCCACAGGTTTACAGGTTTTGTCATTAAAGGAGAACAAAAGGCATCCAAATGTATGTCACCTTTGCTACATAGCCCTTGACTTAACGACCACAAACGAGCCCCAAATTTCTGTAGCTTAGCGAGACAGTTAAGTGAATTTTGCCTCATTTTACGACCTTTCTTGCCACCGTTGTTAAATGAATCACTGCAGTTGTTTTGTTAGTAATCCGGTGAAGTGAACCTGGCTTCCTTATTGACTTTGCTTGTCCCAAGGTCGCAAAAGGTGGTCATGTGACCCTGGGACACAGCAACGGTCGTAAATATGAGTCGGTTGCACAGCATCTGAATTTTGATCACCTGATGCCACAAGGGTCACAAGTCACTTTTTTCAGGGCTGTTTTAAGTTCAAATGGCCACTAAACAAACTGTTGTAAGTCAAGGATTATCTGTATTTCATTCTTAAGTATTGCCCCCTCCATTTATTTCATGGGAGTTTGATGCCATCCGTCCCCAAGGCGACTTTGGGGTTAGCGATGCTGAACATTCCCCCTGCTAGAGACTGATCCAGATTCTGACAACTTCTGCCCTATATTTTGCTAGCATGTTTCCCTTCTGGCCAGTTTATCAAATGTTTACTCTTTCCCAAACAGTCCAGCCCCGGATTTAAGGGAGCTTTAGAGCTTTTACTTGGCAGTGTGAAATGCATGTTTATCTTTTAAAAGATACTGTCTTTAGGAATGTGTGCAATGACTGCAAACATTAAAATACTTGATTTTGATACAGCTTTGCTGAGAGAATTAAATTCGGGGGGGGGGGGCTAATGGCATCATAAACATTCCAGGCATTGTGTTCAGTGCAGCCTAAATATAATTCGCTTCATCTTAAGTCCAACATTATGCTTACACTAAGCCGTAAGGCGATTTCCATGGTTTTGGCTTATCATGATATGTGAACCAAAGTACTGTTTATTAACCATGGCTTATATGTATTTCCAACTTGTCCCTGCCCGGGAGCGCCGCGCATGCGTGGTTCCGCCCCCTGCGCCGGCCGAGGCGTAGCTGGCAAGCGGCAGAGACGGAGCAGGCCGACCACCAGCTGGCCCAGCCCAAGGGAGGTAAGGCACCCGCCGGAAAAGGGGGAAAAAATGGCGGACAAAAAAAATGGCGGACAGCCTTGCTTGGCGACCCCCGTGAAATGGNTTGGGGTCTTTCACTCGGCAGAAAGCATACATTACTTTCCCACTATTGAGTTCGTCCACCATCTCCTCCAGACCACCATCTATATATCATTGTTTGAGAATGAGAGCTCAGGTTAAAGCAAATTCACATTAAGAATCACCTACAAACAATGTACAGAATATGCTGATCTAGAACCAGAAAAGAACTCCAGAAATTCTAGATGGTACTTAAACACCAGCCAGCCGACATCCGAAGGGACCAGATGCTCAGTCTTGCTACAGATAAACTCTCTGGCCTGGTTTATATGTTATCCCACCCCGACTGTTCTTTGGAAGGACAGATCCTGAAGCTGAAGTTCAAATACTTTGGCCACCTAATGAGAAGAGAGGATTTATTGGAAAAGAACCTGAGGTTGGGAAAGATTGAAGGCAAAAGGAGAAGGGGACCCCAGAGGATGAGATGGTTAGATAGCGTCACTGACACAATGAACAGGAATTTGGGTAAACTCTGGGAGACAGTGGAGGACAGCTGGGTCTGGCATGCTGTGGTCCATGGGGTTGTGAGGAGTTGGACATTCTGAGTTACTTTTTTTTAAGGTTATAAGTGCCATTGTAACTTTAATAGTTGCTAAACCAATGGTTATAAGTTCAGGACTACCTGTAGGCTAGATTGTTATAGAGGACAAATACTATCTGCCTTGAGTTTCTACTAGGCTAATAAATTGTGATTGTTGATATTGAAAGAATAAGCACAGAATTGCAGAACTAACTGAAGGAGGACACAGCTCCAAGGCATGAACAGAACTAGTGGACAATCAATTAAATATGAGCTAGCAGTGTGCGGCAGCAGCCAAAAAAGCCAATCCAATCCTAAATTGCATTAAGAGAGAGATTGAATCAAGATCACGGGAGGTACCAGTATCACTCTATAAAGCCCGAGTAAGCCCACATCTAGAAAACTGCATCCAGTTTTGGTCACCACCCTATAAAAATCATGTTGAGACTCTAGAAAGAGCAAAGAGCAACAAGGATGATTAGGGGCCTGGAGATTAAAATCTATGAAGAACGGTTACAAGAACTGGGCATGGCTAGTCTAGTGAAGAGAAGGACCAGGGGTGACATGATTGCAGTGTTCCAATGTTTGAGGGACTGTCACAGAAAGGAGGGGGACAACCCAGAGAGGGACAACAGAGAGGAGGGAGGCAGCCCAGACAAGGAGCTATGGATGGAAACTGATCAAGGAGAGATTTAACCTAGAAATAAGGAGAAATTTTCTGACAGTGAGAACAATCAAAGGAACAGCATGCCTTCAGAAGTTGTGGGAGCTTCATCACTGGAGGCTCTTAAAAAGAGACTAGATCTGTTGCTTGAGCAGAGGGTTGGACTACATGTTGACAATTTTAAGGCATGTGGACTTCAACTCCCAGAATTCCACAACCAGCAATGCTGGCTGTGGAATTCTGGGAGTTGAAGTCCACATGCCTTAAAATTGTCAAGGTTGAGAAACACTGATCTGCAAGGTCATTTCCAACTCTGTTATTCTAAGTCTAAATTTAGTGAAGGAGGCTCAATATCCATAAAATACTACTTAGTAGGCACAAGACAACATTTACTGTGCCAAAAATACTTTGGAAACCCATTAGGTAATAGAAGCTCATCGTTATAGTTTTAAGATCCAGAATATATACAGTATAAGGATGTCCTTGAGAAGTTTCAAGCATCTACTGAGCTGCAATCTTAAAACAACAGCCAGTGAATCACTTCCACATCTGAAGTCTCACTCCCTGCCAACACAATCTCTTAATCTTTGATGTTCCCTCCATTAAACCATCCTATTCTGCCTTCACGTTATAATTACCATTTTTCTTCTTCTTCATAGTCATCATCTCATTATTCAGACAATTTAATTGTCTCAAAAAGTAGCCATTTCAAATGTGAAACAAAAAAAGGCAACTGTTTTTTTTCAATGTTAATTTTTCCACTGAAAAACCACCAAATACTGAGCTATGTCTTGCTACTTCCCTTTAAAAAAAAAAAGAACTGAAGGAGTTTCTAGATGAGATACACTTTGCAAGAGTTCTCTTTTCTTATTGCATTTTTACTAAAAATTTCCATAAAAGGGATCTTTTTGGTAACTGTTATTACGTGCTATGTAGGTATAGGGCAGGGGTAGGCAACCTTGGCTCTTTTATGACTCGTGGACTTCAACTCCCAGAATTCCTGAGCCAGCCATGCTGAGGGGAAAGGGAGAGGTTTCCAAGCTGAGCCATGCTGGCTCAGGAATTCTGGGAGTTGAAGTCCACGAGTCATAAAAGAGCCAAGGTTGCCTACCCCTGGTATAGGGTATAATTCCTGTCCTTGTAACTTTTATACAGCATTCTCTTAAAAAAAGCAGATTAAAAGAGACGTTGGCTCAAAGGTAACCATTTTAAAACTGAATTTGAACTTCCTGGAAATTTGCCCTTCGGCAACTTTGTGTGTACTCTGCAAATTAGAAGCCAATCAAAAAACTCCTCACTGCTAATTTTTCTACCCAACATTTTACCATGGCAAAGTCATAGATAGGTAGGTAGGTAGGTAGGTGATAGATAGGGCTTCAAATATATATATATATATATATATATTCAGACATTTCATCAATTCACTTTGAAGCCCTGACTTATGTCTGTAATGGAACTTGCCCAGTATGGTCATAAGTCATGACGGTCATAAAATGGGTCATCTATATTACCAACCCAATTTTATTATCTTTTTTGCAGCAATTGTTAAGGGAATGCCATGGCCGTTAAGCGAACCAATTCTGTGTTATTGGCTGATTTTGCTAAAAACCGGAAATGCAGGTTCTTAGGAAAAACAACGTGAAGCATGGTCACACGAAGTGGGAAGTTGCAAATGGCTGGAAATGCAGGTCAGATGCCGCGCACCCAAAATGCAGTCATGTGCACTGGGGTGGGTGGGGATGGGCAGCCATCAGAACTTAGGAACTGGGTCATAAGTACCCCCAAAGAGATCAGGCGTAACTTCAAATAACTGCTAGGTGACAGGTGGAACACTTGTACAATTCATGGCTTCTGTTTCTAGTTTGGTAGCCAATTCAGATATAACCTGTTATGCATCATTCTGTGCAATTTATGCCAACAGGCATAAGCGTAGAGGAAGAGAAAAAAAATCAGAAAGACGTAGGCTTTGCACATTTACCCGTCGCCTGCAATTATGGTGGCAAAAATACAATGACTAATGAAAGACAAGAATATATTTTTGTAAATGCAACAGGCTGCAGTCATTCCATCCACTAAAAATTTCCTAACGGCAGCATGCCAAAACAAGTATATTTAATAAGCAGTTCAAGTTGCTAAAACTGCCATTTTATATACAGCTCTTTAATGTACAAACTGGCACTCTGGCTGCTAATTAGCATTTTCCCTTGCAATTTTATTTTTATAAAGCATTTTTAAAGTAAATTCCATAAAACAAATGTTCGGGTCACCTATGAACCTCCACACAGATTTGTAGCATGTTTAAAGTATAATATATTGCTTCCTTTCCACTGGAAAACAGGAGTACACACCTGCTACATCTCCTACAATCCATTTCCCAGGACTGGTCTGGAGACTTCCCAGAATCCATATGTATAAACAAGCAGAAATAAATGAATGTGTCACCATCACACCAAAGAACCAGGCTCTAGAGAAATGTTACAGACGCCCTGTAAAAACCATGGGACTAGTTGCACTTGGATCCAAAAGCCATAATCAAGCAGTCTCTGTTTTAGAACTTAAGGACAGACAAAATCTAGAAAACAGACTTCATGAGAAACATTCAGCCAAAAATCCGAAGCAAACTTTTTAGGCCACAGAAAAGTTTGCTTTTCTTAAAGAATGCTTTGCAAAAATTCACTCACCTCCAGTCCCTGCCACTCTGAGGTCATTGCTGTTTCCCTCGTATGTAAACAGAGCCCTGAAAACAACGAAGCAAAATGAAATGATTGTTATGTTACTCACTGGAGACTGAGCATAACCTTTCAGATTCAGAATATTGTTGACCTGATGGTTCAGTGATTGGATTCTAACATCACACTAAGCCTAGATTTGATTGTGGTTATTCAAACCGTTATGTTATTCTCCAACTTTTAACTCTTTACTTTTTCCTTGTTTTTATATGGTTGCATGCCTCTTTCTTTGAAACGACAAATGGGTAAAGTATGTTTACAGCTTTACAGAGATTACCAGTTATTCTTAAAATGACCTAATGACAGTTGTAAGGTCTATCCAGACTCCTTCCATTGAATACAACTCCTAAGCCTTCACTTTTTTCCAAACATATTGCTGGGCCCTATTTTTTTCTATATATAATTTTATTAAACATTTTAAAAGGCGAGATAATAACTAATGCAAGGTAAGGGGGGAAAAAAGAAATCAAAGGAAAAGCTGAAAGTGCAAGCAAGGAAGAAAGAAGGAAAAGGGGAAAAGGAAAAAGATACAAAGAAGTGGCTTTCAATTTTTACAGCAATTACTGTATAAGTATAATTATAAATTTAAGTTTTTCTCTACAACAAGATTCTCTTCTTTCTAGAATTTATCCTGTCTAACCATCAAAACTGTAAGNCTGCGGCGGCGGCGGCGGCTGCGCTGCAGCGAGGAGGGGGCGCCCGAGACGCCGCGGACCCGCAGCTCCTGCTCGAGGCGCGCCCCCGCCGGGGAGGACCCGCGCGCAGCCGCCTCGGCCCGGGCACGGGAGCGCGCGCGTGGCTGCCCGGTGGTGCCAAAGCTTGGGGTGAGCTCTCCTAAGGCGGCGGGAGGAAAGGGGGGCGCGCCCGTTGCTCTCGCGTGCAGGTAAGGTTGGGTTCATTCACACGCAATGAGGCTATAGTCCTCCAGTTACATTTAGGGGCCGTTCAAAGTTGCGAGGGCACTGAAAAAAACGCGATTTGTGACCGTTGTTCACACTTACGACTTTGCAGCATTCCCAGGGCCACGTGATCAAAACTCAGACGCTTGGCAACTGACTCTCATTTATGACGGTTTGCGACCTTCTGACCAGCAAAGTCAGTGGGGAAGCCAGATTCACTTAACAACTGTGTTACTAACTTAACAACTGGAGTGATTCACTTAACAACTGTGGCAAGAAAAGTCATAAAATGAAGCAAAACTCACTTAACAACTCTCTTGCATACCAACATAAATTTGAGGCTCAGTTGTGGTCGTAAAGTTGAGGACTACTTGTACTCTCTGATAGGGCTTCATATGTGCATAAACCCAACATTGCAATGGGTAAATTTTGAGTTTATTTCCTGTATCTGGACGTCAGAAAAACTGAGCGCCAGGAGATGGCAGGAAAGAGATAGTCAACATTTTTACTTTTAAATCATGAATCGTGCAATAATTGCAGTCCAAAGATTTTATTTTACCCGTGCTGAATATTGAAGTTGCTTAATAAATCTTGGTCAAGCAAGTCAAGGCTTAACCCACGGTGCAAACTGGTAAATAATATTTATCTAGTGACCTTGGATGTGCTGATTCAAGCACAAAAATCAAGTTTTATTGTGCTCGTTTGTTTCAAATACTTTATTTTTTGTTTTTAAAATACTCCTTCAAAACAAATACTTGGAAGTTTGCAAGGCAAGGAAGAATTGGATCCAAAACTTTCTCTCCAGCAGGATAAAGTTTTGAGACATTTTAGGTAAATAATTGGTTAATGCCATAATAAAACATGTAAGCTATCAAACGGCTGCTGGTGTGTTTGCTGTGTTTGCTAACTGATGATTATATGTGCAGCTCAGATTACAAATTAAGACCAAAAAGGGTTGGTATAAGTTGCTAAATAAATTGGGGGGGGGGAGTCATTTCTGCATTGTGGAATAATTATAATGATTATTTTTAAAAAATATTCTTGTTTGCTGCTTTAATTTGGGTTTAAGCACATATCGATGGCTATACAGTAGAACTGCCAGGCCTCAAAACTAGATATCGTCTAGATGGGAGTAAAGAGAGTTTATGGCGCTGTATTTTGGAGTTTTCCCAGCCCAGTTCTGGTCCCTAATTATACAGGTAATCCTCGATTTACAACCTTTCATTTAATGACCACTCTAAGGCACTGAAACAAGTTACTTACAATTGGTCCTCACACTTACAACTGTCGCAGCATCCCCATGGTCACGTGGTCAAAATTCAGGCACTTGGCAACTGGCATCTATTTCCACAGTGGCAGCATCCCAGGGTCACCTGATCACTATTTGTGACTTTCCCTGCAGGCTTCCAACAAGCAAAGCCAATGGGGGAAACTGGATTCGCTTCATCACTGCATGTTTCACTTCACAACCACTGTAATTCGTTTAACCACAAAGAAAGTAGTAAAATCAGGTGCAACTTGCTTAACAACTGTCTTATTTAACAATGGAAATTCTGATCTCATTTGAATTTCCATTGTTAAATAAGACGGTTGAGAACTACCTGTAGAAATATTTTGTCAAATTATCCTGCATTGTGGCCTGCATTGTGATGTGTGGCTAAATCAGATATGATGCATGAAAATCCCAAGGTAAAAAGAGTAGAGAATCCTAGCTTTGCAAGTGATATGAACCCAATGCACCATAACTAATTACAGATCAGGTGACTTATCCAAAGACATGTTGGCTGGGGAATTCTGGGAGTTGAAATCCATGCATCCATGTTGTGGCTGAAATCTAACAAATCTAGCAATGGAATGGAATGAAGTGGAGTGGAATAGAATTAGAATAGAATAGAATTAGAATAGAATAGAATGTAGAAGAGGATAGAATATTGTCATTTAAATGTACACTAATCGGCATACATTAAAATGAAATTTCATTGCATTAAGGTTATAAATATTAATTATCCTCACTCAATCAAACAGAACATACTTTTGTTCCTATCCCATGGCCTATTTCCATCTTCCTACTATAAAGAGGAGAAACTAGCATCCCCAAACTCTTAAAATTAACAGAGCTATTTTTGTTTAAGCTGAATGTTGCTTCCCTATTTAGGAGACATTTATTGTTATTACTAAAATGGCTCTGCTTGTGCCTCTAGTAGATAACGGGAAATGCTCTAAGCCTGGGGTCCCCAACCTTGGCAACTTTAAGACTTGTGGACTTCAACTCCCAGAAATGGGGAATTCTGGGAATTGAAGTCCACAGGTCTTAAAGTTGCCAAGGTTGGGGATCCCTGCTCTATGCTCCTCTCTGCATTCAGGATGTCTGAGTCTCCGCAAGGTGGCACAATTGCTCCTCTCGCTTTCCCCCCCCCCAAAGTGAAAATAGCAGATTTAAGTATTTACTTTAGTCATTGTGGTGAAGCTGAGAACCTTGGAGTGACCACTGTCAGAATTGAGGTTACCTACCATGTTTTCTAGTTTAAAAAAAGATTCTTTCAGCCAGCAAATTATAAGTAGGAGGAAAAAGGACAGACTTCAACTCAGACTGAGAGGGGCCAGCCAAATAGTTTGGACCAGGGTCACGGAAGGCAGAATCCTTTGGACTTGAACACAATCTCCATCACAGTGACAGGCTGAGCCAGATGCGTTGGCCTCCCATAAGCCAAAGATGCAACCTTTCTGCAAGAAATCAATCCCCCCCCCAAGCCTATTCCAAGTAAAAGGATGGCCTCTTCAGGAAAGAATGGAGCATGGGAAGAATGATTTGGGAACATAGTTTTCACACTGTGTTAAGCCACTGAATGGTGCTTCATTTAGTACAGGAACCCAGACACTTGCTGTTTGTAAAGGGTGATTTATGTGCTAGAGCAATGCATGATCCTCACCAACTGGGTTTAAAATTTATGGCTTAGCATGATGTTCTACCTTTGGCGAGTGCTGTGTTAGTGGTGTGAAACATTTTGTTGTGTTGCCTTGCTGATGCATCCTTCCTATTCTTTCTTTCTCAGCTACAGGAAAGGCGGGGGACTCTTGTAAGATGCTAAGCAGTGATGGGCTTGGCTTGGCTTGGCTTGGGGTTAAGATATGTGAGCCCAGCTATTATGGTCTGCAAACCACAATTTGTTCCTCGGTGGATCCCATTGTGGTTTATTTAATAAACTGCTGTTAAGCAATTCATAGCCCAAAGTGTAAAATGGACTGCAGCCTGATATCCTTTCTACTGCCACTGCAAAATGGTAAACAGTAGTAAATTTCTAGTTCCAGAATTAGCATGATCTGAAAACACAGCTGGTCAAAGAACTAAATTTTGAACTGCACATTACTTTACTACTTCAGATCCTGACCACTCTGGAGTCTGTATTTAAAAGGTTTGCTCTTTGAGATGGTATTCTCAGAAGACTGGTGTTAGTACTTAAAACTTGCAAATATCAGCAAACTAACAGTACAGTACCCTTGTAATTTCACTTTTGCAGTCAGTTTGAGCCAAACACATGCATTTCCATAAGCTAGAGGGAATATAACCTTGACTATAAACTTTCATTTAATCCTTTTCATTCTTAACACTATCAGCTTCTGCCTTTCAGAAAATCTACATAACTTTTCCTGGATTAACTGCACTGCTATAATACATGTTTTACAAAACAAAATGAAGGGCTTTAAATGTTTCAATCTGTAAAGACCCACAACAGTGTTTCAGCTTTACCAGTAGTGGGCAAAACAATACTTAATTCATTAAAAAATAAGTGTTGGATTGATACTACTAAAGGCAGATAAAAAATAATTCCTATACAGATAACTCTACCGTTTTATACATAGGTTAATGGCCTTTGAAACAAAAATCTGAGAATGTTCATTCAATGTGTTTCCCTTTCAAATCTTGTCCGCAATCTCTTTTCAATAACAGGGATATCATAAAATGATTACATGTTTCTACAGAATAATCCCTGGAGTTCTTTAGTGGGGAAAGAAATATTTGATAAACCAGTAGGTTCCCAGCACTTTGTAAATAT